AGGGCGGCGGCAGAGCCGCGCGGGGAGGGTGGGGCCCCGACCGGCTTCCCGGCGGGCAGCCCGGCTCTTCCCCTCGCTCACGCGGCCACGGCAGGTCGCCAGCTCGTCTGTGCCTCCATCTAAACGCGCGCACCACGCGTGCACACATACACGCAGCACAGTGCCTGCTGCGTAGTAAACTGCTACTTGAAATGCTGACATTTTATACGTTGCTTGTAATGACTACTTTTGGTTAAACACATAATCAGCAATTCTGAATGTTGATCCAACTTAACCAAAGGCTTTTGAGTTTGAAGAATTCTTCCCTATTACAAATGATTCAAAGGCCAGCAACCAGGTAGCTATTTCGGATGCCATAACAAGATGGTAGGGATCAGGCAGAAGCACACGAGCGACCACAGCCGGTGATGCTGGAAAATGAGCACGGGGACGGCGAGGGAGGAGGGGCTCTGCCAGAGTGACCCCAGCTGTCGCGGGTAGGGTCCGAGCAGAAGAAAACACTGTGAACCCTCTCTCTCTTGTTTCATTTCTCCACTGAAATCGGCAGGCCCGTGTGAAATCACACCCCTGACAAGGTTACAGGCGAAATGAAATAACAGCACAATTTGTTTCAGCCGTTTCGGGTTTTCTCTGGTTGGATTATCTCCCCAAAGACCCTACCATAGTTCTTAGGACAGCTATTAACTCCTGCTGGTCTCTCAAATACACATATGTATCAAATCTAAAATTTGAAACCTCAAAGCTTTAGTTCACATCAACTACAGATGTTAAAAATCATACAGTTCCAACCAACAGCCAGAAAAAAGAGGAAGAAAAAAGCCTGAAAAAAAGGAAGTCTTATACTCGAGGCACTAGTTTTGAGAGCATTTACTACAGTAAACTTACATGATCTTCTACAACCTCTTTGATGCCTGAAATTGTAAGAATAACCAGCAAAGGCAACAGAGTTGTATATTTTCCTGTCGGGGACACATCTGGAATTTGCTGCAAAACAGAGTTACACTATTAATTTTATAAGTCCTTGTTGAACTCTGCGTACACTGAGAGCTACACTAGTAGTGGCTTGGCCCAGGACCTGACAACAATAGACACGTTAAATATTCAGCATATCAAACCATCCCTGGAGTATGACCCTGAATATCACATCATAGATGAGTCCTCAGTGCATCTGCTTAGTAACACTTCACTCCTTATGTCACCTTTCTAATAGACACTTCATTATGTTTCGGTGGGAGCAGCTCAAAACCTAAATGTTTAAAATAGCATCTTTTCAAAATAGTTCAATCCAAAACCAAAAGGTCAGCTATCTTAACCAAATCTTACTTCTTTTTGAGGAAGAGGAGAAAGTTTTTGGAGACACAGGGGAATAACGTTTCCTGGGTACAGATCACTCCAGGAGAGTGCTCCAGGGCGACCCCCACTGTTTAAAATACGAGGAAGTAAGTGATTGAAACTGAAGCTGTGGTCGTTTTCCGATGGGTGCAAGGGCAGTGAGGCTTTGGAGCTGACCCTCTGGTTTCTAGATTTAGACAAGTTCTTAGGCCAATGTTTCCAGACTTGGGCCAGTGTGCACTCCCTGTGCTGCCTTATTATTTTTCGCTTGCTTATTATTTCTTTGCATGATGAGATACACACACACACACACACACACACACACACACATACACACACACATATAATTAAGCCTTTAAAAAAAGGAAATTCTGTCTTCTGTGACATGGATAAACCTTGAGGACATTCTGCCAAATGAAATAAGCCAGTCACAGAAGAACAATACTGTGTGGCTGCACTTGTATGAGGCACCAAAAATAGTTAAACTCATAGGAACAGAGAGGAGAATGGGGGCACCAGGACTGGGGAGATGTCCTCAGAGCTGTCACTCAGTGAGTACAAAGTTTCAGGTAAGCAAGGTGAATCCGTTCTAGATTCTCTTGCATACAAAGAGCCTGTACGTAACCGTGCTTTATTGGATACCCAAACTTTTGTTAAGGGGGTAGACCTCATGTTAAGTGTTCTTACCACACTTTTTTTAAAAAAGGAAAACACTATTTTAAACAAACATTTGGATTTTTAAAATTATTCCCTTCAACATAGAAAACAAACTATGGTTACCAAAGAAGAAATGAGGAGCAGGGATAAATTAAGAGTTTGGGATTAACAGATGCACATTACTATGCATAAAATAGATAAACAACAAGGACCTACTGTATATATAGCTCCGGGGACTGTATTCAATTTCTTTTTTTTTAAACTTTTTTATTGAATTATAGTCATTTTACAGTGTTGTATCAATTTCTTGTAATAAGCTATGATGGAAAAGAATCTGAAAAGATATGTATACGTAAGTATAACTGAATCACTTTGCTGTACACCTGAAACTAACATTGCTAATCAACCATACTTCAATAAAAGATAAAATTTTAAAATTAAAATTAAAAAAATTTAAATAAAATAATTCCTTTCAAAATACAGTAAAATTACCCTATTGTGAAGGTGGCACAAATGACAAAAGTCACTCCAATTATATCTCATTAATGATCTAAATCAGGTTGAACTGTGGACCAATTAATTCATCTATTGTGCACCAACGTGTCTTTCAGCCCAGAAGTGGAGTTTCAGCGTCTCACTGAGTAACTTAAATATTGTAAGACAAGAACTTTAAATTTATTCTCTACATAAAACTCTCATTTCAGCTAAATGAGCTTTTTATACCTTTTCACTTCTTAAAAATCTTAATCTAATAGCACGTTCAGAGACACTACCTGCAATATAGTAATGAATAGGAAGAAAGCGTTGGCAGCTTTGCTAAACTGCAGATACAAGTACAGGGGGAGGAACGACCACATGCTGTACTTGGCCGTGCTGCGGGAGAAAAGAAAGACAGCATTTCAGTTAACGCGCTGAACTTGGAAAACGCTGATGGAAAACACAGAACATTAGTTCTAACTCAGAAGTGGACAAAACTTTGTTTGAAAGCACTGACCCGCTTCTGAAGCTATTTTGTCTTTTTTCACAGCATTCATTGTTATCTGAAAACAAACCCAGGATAAAAGAAGAATTCTCCCCATTTCAGGAAGCACTATGACTATGTACGCAGACATTGGAAAGAAGGGAGCAGCAGGCTCTCTAAGCACAAAGAAAGGAGAAGATAGATAGATAGATAGATAGATAGATAGATAGATAGATAGATAAGATTTTTATGAAAATTTTAGCTTCTATAAATCCCCCAATATAAAAAACTGACTTCTTCAAATACTTTTGTAAGGTCTTTTGAAGTATGGTTGGTAAAAACAATGGGTTCCAGGTACCTAATACTTTCTTCTTTTCATAAACTGCTTATATTCTTTATTGTATCTGGATTTGCTGGGTATCATGCACGTTATTTTACCAAACTTTGGGAGCTTTGAGATGGGAAATTCAGTATTTCTGCTTTTAATTCATCCACATCAAATATGAAGAATTCCCAGGCAGGATGTTTTTGAAAGACTCATGGATTAAATGGAATTAATAATTAACAACCCAAAACAGCTCTTAAAATTCATCACACTAAATAAATTTTAAAAATAGAGATACATAACATAAATCCATAAATATTAAACCCAGAGCCAAATTTAAGAGAGGTTGCGTTTTCTCATGTCCCTTTTAAAAAACAGATGTTTTATTGTCCTCTCATTTAGAACGTAGCCCTCGGAAGACCCAGTTTTATGGCGGTGAGGCTGCAGTTCTGGTTTCCACCAGGTGTGGGCCTTAGGCTTGGGTTCTCTCCTCCACCTGAGCATTAGAACTGAAGCCCTGGGTCACCAGAACTGGGCAGATGTCCTCAGAGCAACCCTCCACTTCAGTGTCCCCAGCCTCTTTGGATTCCTGCTTTGCCTTCATTTTTGGTCTCAGAGATATCTTTTTTTCCTTGCATGTCAATGATGCACAGTTTTAAGCTATTTGATTAGCTAATCATGAAAATGCTTAGTGACTCCTGAGCTGGTATATCCAACCCCTGGCCTTAGTGCCTGGTTTAAAAAAAAAAAGTGTATCTATGAATATATATATGAAAAACTGATCCCTTTCAAGCTTTCATCTAACTTTGCCTCTGCAGTAAGTACTCAACTCAGCCAATTCCTCAAGAAATAGAAGTCTTACTAGCCTAACGCTCAGTTCCTCGATACCTGGAAAAGATGTCCCTCCTACGCGCAGGTCTGCTAGAGAGCTCTCAGCTGCGGCCTGTGAGCCAGGGCACGTGACACAGAGCAGCAGTCACAGAGAGCGACCTTGAAGGTGAGGTGAAGAAAAGTCCTGCTCTCTGTGGTGAGTTCCTCAAGTTTCACGAAAACTATTACAGCCTGACACATCCACACAAGGTGAAGAAAAGCCCTGTTCTCTGTGGTGAGTTCCTCAAGGTTCACGAAAACTATTACAGCCTGACACATCCACACAAGGTGAAGAAAAGCCCTGCTCTCTGTGGTGAGTTCCTCAAGGTTCACGAAAACTATTACAGCCTGACACATCCACACAAGGTGTTGGTTTTTGTGGGGAGGAAGGCCACACCTTCCCCCCACCCCTTCCCTCCAGCTACACACTCTTCTCACCTGATGGAGTTTTTGCAGAAAGTGTTCTTAAGGGGTTCGTTGAGGTAAATGGTGCGGGCTTTAGACATATCTGTTCTTTGCAGAGACTGTCGCCAGCCCATCATTTCCTCCACCTCTGACGGCTCACAGAGAAACGAGCAGGGCCTGTGGCAAGAAGGCACCGAGATGTTACACAAAATTCTGTCGAAGGCAGGCTCCGGGGGAGCAGCAGGTGCCTTCGAGAAAGGGAAGAAGCGGGTAGGATGAAATGGGGACCCGTCCCGGAAAGAGTCTTGGCAGAAGAGCAACAGCTCCCAGGCCAGAGAGCTGACCCCTGACCAGATGACCCTCAGCCTGACTCAGCTCCAGACAGGTGTCCTCCTGCTTACAGGCCCTTTACCTCCCCGTCGTTTTTTCTAAAGTAAAGAAAACTTGTAAATTCTTACTCTACTCCCTTTGAAATATATATAAATCTCCTCAAAGCCTCTTGCCAGCTTTAGGATCCAGTGAATCTTCCTCAAGGGCCTGGGATGTCTCTTTGAGATACAGTCACCTGGGAGCAGCGTAAACTTGCCGCTCCCTCCCTCCCCATCATGAAATGGGAGGAGCTGTGCTTTCCTCTGGGTAAAGACCTCAAAC